TATCAACCATGAACAATTTATTACTAGGCAGGGCGAAAATAAACAATTGCAAAAAAAGTTTATCATGCTGGATCGAAAATTATCTCCGAAGCCTGATGTTAGTAAGTTAAAGATAATTGGTGGGCGAACTTCAAAGAAAATAAATCGTGGGAAAGTTGGCAGCTTCTTAAGCAGCTTGGATATGTTTAAGTAATTAAATAAACTGTTTAAAACTGTTAATATTTTGTTCATCTGAACGTGAGAATGTAGACGTGAAATAATTTCTGGTTCAGCGCTTACAAATTTGAGTACGATAAACATGCTAAACACAAAATGTTGCTAACCTCAAAATATTTTAAAATCTACTTTTTATGTAACATCACAGCATACGGTAAGTTATACTCGGATTCTTCAAAGAATTGTTCCACTTTGATATTAATTTGCGATATACCGTATTAATAATAATTAATAATAATTGACAAGACTATAAACATTCTCCTGACGGTCACTGAGCATGGACCTGCATAGACTTGGTCAGAGAAAACTCACGCTCAAACGTCGAGACAACAACTGAAAAGTGGTTTTATCCCCAAAAAAACATATTCTTTACACTTGTATGCCGAAAGTATATTTTATTTAAGACTATAATAGGCTATAATAATAAGCCTATACATTATTAATAATAAAACTTCCATGGTAATAATAGACACAATAATAAACGTGAGTCTAGTACAAAATCATTTAAATATTATTTATATGGCTAATGATAATGATAATAATGATACATTAATAATTAAGGCCAAAAAATATTATTACGTCTAATCTATAGAATCAATGGAAAAATAATAAATCTACAACAAAATGTTTAGACATTATTACAAAGGCAGATGCGCTGAAGTAGCGGATGCAACTTTATGGAATACTCCAGCACGGAGCTTGAGTTTGTGTTCCATAGGCGTTTAATCCAGTGACCGGGTAGTAATGAGAAGCGCTTAGAGGCCTTGTTGGCGTTAAGCGCTATATAAATCTAATATAATAATAATAATAATAATAATAATAATAATAATAATAATAATAATAATAATAATAATAATTATTATTATTATTATTATTATTATTATTATTATTATTATTATTATTATTATTATTATTATTAATACTGTCAAAACGGAATAACATTTTTGTAATCTAAACTACACTAGCCGAATGGATAGTGTGTTTTCTGTCTCTTATACACATCTAGATGTGTTATAGACTACAAAGTCAAACCACATGGTAAGTCAATACAGTACACTAGCCTCACTATATTTAGTGACTCCACTGCGATTTTAATAATTGTCAATTTAGGCACATTAATTTAAAATCCACTTTTACAATTTATTCCAATGCAATAAATAAGTTTGGTTAATTCACTGAGGATGTTTTAATATGTTGAATAGCGACAATTCTAATTTCTAAATTTTAATTTTCGGCCGATTAATTTGACTTTTGGAAAGCAGAGGCAGCTCAAATTATGTAATAACATCGGCTGGTTATAAATCACCGTCAGACACGAGTATCGTAATGAACTATTATGATATAATTTAACGGCGTCTTCAATATTGATTGATAAATCTTAGATTGATAATATTTTTAGGAATTATATGAGGTGTGAATGCTGGCTTGGAGTTCCTTTTCCGTGTGTTCGCTTATTTCGGGCATAGAGACCCTCGTAGCATGGAGAAAATTTTCTCCAAGCTCGTAGTTTGCACGGTATAAATACATAACCTTTGACCTTAAATATTTATGTCGATTAATTTGGTTCATTGTTGCGTTTAATCATTAAGAGGCCCTCTTTCAAAACAATTCAAATACTGTACAGAAATAAAATCCTAACTAAAATGAATAAAATATGAGAAAATTTTAAAAATACAACTATAATTTTCAACATACACAGTATATAACAGTATAATTAATAACTATAACCCACAATACCCCAAGTATGCTAGGGTAAACAAGTTGTCTTTATGTGTATGTAGGCTTATCAATAAATCAGTCAATCACATTTTTTTTTTATAAGAACACATTTTATAGCAACACTGGGGCTGAAACCCAACAAATCCTATCGGTACCATTATGTGGTGGGTAGGTGTGACTTATGTAATGCCCTCTATCAGTACAGTAATGCTGTACCATAATAATTTTCTATCTTTGAAAAGTGTGTAAAATAAGAACAAAATAAGAACAGTTTGAGCCTGAAATCGGCAAAATAAAATAAAATAAAATAAGAACACCGAGTTTGGGCAAAATTTTACTGGTTCTATATTTGTAGGCCTATAGCGCCGGCTTTCACGGCAGAATGTACAGTGAGTCTAAAATACCGGTATATTTACAGTATGAAAATATGTAGTATTTAGTATGTTATGGGATTTAGTTGGTATTAATATTTCTTATTTTCCACTTTTTTTTAGTGTGAACACGTATTTGTTACACGTAATTGTTAAAATAACAGTTCATATCGATAGATTATAATATTATAATATTAATGATAATAGCTCAATGTGCTTTTCAGGATTCTATGGAAGTATTCAACGGCATCCATTGTTCCTGCTGTCGTATTGTTTCACGATCGCTATTACGTCATGCGGGAACATCAATCAAACGTGACCGACGATGCCTGGTATCACGGCACCCTGGAACGCTTTCCTGTCAAGCGTTTAATACAACTTTTTTGATTGGTCGGTCAGTAAGGTCACGTGACCGTGGACTTACAATATCTTTAGGATAAAATCAAGCGATCTCACTGATCTCAGCTATTCTACAATTTATCAGACTGCTATTTGTACTGTGCTTCGAGATCTTATCCACTATTATTAATTACGCTGACTGACAAAATGGCTGCTAATGATTGTTGCAGAAGACTCCAATGGTATGAGCTGTATTCCACAACATTTCGAGATGACATCGAAGAAGGTGGAAACAAACTGCCTTATCTGTCAAGAGAAGACCTTCTCCAAACAGAAATGGATGCAGACCTCAGAATCCGATTTCCATGTTCATCAAGTGGGTCCACGTGGTTGGAGGATGAGTCAGATTCGCAGCATTCTGGTGATGTCAGCTTTGGTGTTACTACGTTCAGCGGCATCCTCGATGATGACGACTCTGTGATGTGTGGAGACATCAGTGTTGATGAGCTGTTAGCTGAGGTTGGAATGGGCCGACTTTGTAAGTATTCTGGTTTTAATTCAAATAGGTTTTTTTTTTTATATATGTCAACATTTTTGCTATGTCAAACCATTTAATATTATTGATGGCGCTAAAGTTTTTTTTTTTTTTTTTTTTTTCACTGTGTATGGAGGAATTAGTGTATACTGTCAAAACGGAATAACATTTTTGTAATCTAAACTACACTAGCCGAATGGATAGTGTGTTTTATTACACAGTGCAACTCCAGTGCATTGGAATTCCAGTCCATGAACCATGTGCTCAGCCTCTAAGCCTGATAAAACTAAATCTGAATTAATAATTGTATTTTGGTAAATTTGACAATCTCTTCATTCAGTTGACCATGTATTGTATTTCCTTTTTTCAGGTGTATCACTTCTTTCGGACGCGGCCGCATCATCGTGTACAACAGAGGATGGCCTTGATCAGAGCATGGACTACGAAGAAGTATTTAGCTACGATTTCTTAGCATGGTAAGTCAATACGGTACACTAGCCTCACTATATTTAGTGACTCCACTGCGATTTTAATAATTGTCAATTTAGGCACATTAATTTAAAATCCACTTTTACAATTTGTTCCAATGCAATAAATAAGTTTGGTTAACTCACTGAGGATGTTTTAAAATGTTGAATAGCGACAATTCTAAGACTTAATTTTCGGCCGATTAAGACTTTTGGAAAGCAGAGGCAGCTCAAATTATGAAATAACATCGGCTGGTTATAAATCACCGTCAGACACGAGTATCGTAATGAACTATTATGATATAATTTAACGGCATCTTCATTATTGATTGATAAATCTTAGATTGAGGATATTTTTTAGGAATTATATGAGGTGTGAGTGCTGGCTTGGAGTTCCTTTTCTGTGTGTTCGCTTATTTCGGGCATATAGACCCTCGTAGTTTGCACTGTATAAATACATAACCTTTGACCTTAAATAAATGTCGATTAATTTGGTTCATTGTTGCGTTTAATCATTAAGAGGCCCTCTTTCAAAACAATTCAAATACTGTACAGAAATAAAATCCTAACTACAATGAATAAAATATGAGAAAATTTTAAAAATACAACTATAATTTTCAACATACACAGTATATAACAGTATAATTAATAGTTATGACCCACAATACCCCACGTATGCTATAGGGTAAGCAAGTTGTTGTTTATGTGTATGTAGGCTTATCAATAAATCAGTCAATCACATTTTTTTTTTATAAGAACACATTTTATAGCAACACTGGGGCTGAAACCCAACAAATCCTATCGGTACCATTATGTGGTGGGTAGGTGTGACTTATGTAATGCCCTCTATCAGTACAGTAATGCTGTACGATAATAATTTTCTATCTTTGAAAAGTGTGTAAAATAAGAACAAAATAAGAACAGTTTGAGCCTGAAATCGGCAAAATAAAATAAAATAAGAACACCGAGTTTGGGCAAAATTTTACTGGTTCTATATTTGTAGGCCTATAGCGCCGGCTTTCACGGCAGAATGTACAGTGAGGCTAAAATACCGGTATATTTACAGTATGAAAATATGTAGTATTTAGTATGTTATGGGATTTAGTTGGTATTAATATTTCTTATTTGCCACTTTTTTTTTTAGTGTGAACACGTATTTGTTACATGTAATTGTTAAAATAACAGTTCATATCGATAGATTATAATATTATAATATTAATGATAATAGCTCAATGTGCTTTTCGGGATTCTATGGAAGTATTCAACGGCATCCATTGTTCCTGCTGTCGTATTGTTTCACGATCGCTATTACGTCATGGGGGAACATCAATCAAACGTGACCGACGATGCCTGGTATCACGGCACCCTGGAACGCTTTCATGTCAAGCGTTGAATACAACTTTTTTGATTGGTCGGTCAGTAAGGTCACGTGACCGTGGACTTACAATATCTTTAGGATAAAATCAAGCGATCTCACTGATCTCAGCTATTCTACAATTTGTTATCAGACTGCTATTTGTACTGTGCTTCGAGATCTTATCCACTATTATTAATTACGCTGACTGACAAAATGGCTAATGATTGTTGCAGAAGACTCCAATGGTATGAGCTGTATTCCACAACATTTCGAGATGACATCGAAGAAGGTGGAAACAAACTGCCGTATCTGTCAAGAGAAGACCTTCTCCAAACAGAAATGGATGCAGACCTCAGAATCCGATTTCCATGTTCATCAAGTGGGTCCACGTGGTTGGAGGATGAGTCAGATTCGCAGCATTCTGGTGATGTCAGCTTTGGTGTTACTACGTTCAGCGGCATCCTCGATGATGACGACTCTGTGATGTGTGGAGACATCAGTGTTGATGAGCTGTTAGCTGAGTTTGGAATGGGCCGACTTTGTAAGTATTCTGGTTTTAATTCAAATAGGTTTTTTTTATATATGTCAACATTTTTGCTATGTCAAACCATTTAATATTATTGATGGCGCTAAAGTTTTTTTTTTGTTTTTTTTTTCACTGTGTATGGAGGAATTAGTGTATACTGTCAAAACGGAATAACATTTTTGTCATCTAAACTACACTAGCCGAATGGATAGTGTGTTTTATTACACAGTGCAACTCCAGTGCATTGGAATTCCAGTCCATGAACCATGTGCTCAGCCTCTAAGCCTGATAAAACTAAATCTGAATTAATAATTGTATTTTGGTAAATTTGACAATCTCTTCATTCAGTTGACCATGTATTGTATTTCCTTTTTTCAGGTGTATCACTTCTTTCGGACGCGGCCGCATCATCGTGTACAACAGAGGATGATCTTGATCAGAGCATGGACTACGATGAAGTATTTAGCTACGATTTCTTAGCTCCTCTCAGCTTTGACGAATCACCAACCTGCGGATCCTCAACACCCATAACTCGGCCACAATCACAGGTTGCCAAGCACCAGACTCTACACAAGCTGTCAACATACCAGAAAGTATTACTACTTGAGAATAGGCCTAATTGACAGCTGTTGTCACAGCACAGATCAACGAATATGATATTTATCTGTATATTTTTCTATCATATATGGCTAGGCCTGAATTTTATCTATTTTTACTACTTTACTGTGTACATATTTTAAGATTGGGACGGATAGCAATAAATTTCACCCAAATCATTAATACTACATTTCTATTGTCTTTTGTTTTGGGACTGTTGGTGTTTGTAGAGAGTTTGTGTAGTGAGTGTGTAAGCAGATGGAGAAAATATTATATTAAATATATATTTCCTCCATGGTACGCCTAATCTCTATTCACGGAACCAGATCAGTACATTTCATCAAGTTTAGCAAGCGTAATCACCAGCTCACGACATTTATTGCAAAATTCAAGATTGGCTATTTGGAATTCCAAGACTTTTATTAATAGCCTATATTTTACACACAAGCCGTCCTTCACAATTTTACATAATTATATATCATTAGTTCTGACAAAACAGATTATAATGACTATCACAACGACTAGACAACGATTCCACACATTCAAAATTCAACTCCAAAACACCTGAACTAAATAATAATAATAATGATACGAAAAAATATCAATAATAGGCCTAATTTCATTTATTTCCGTAACACCTCAAAATTCAGAAGTAAAATGGTAAAAAACTGATCACAAAGAAATAAAATTAAGGTGGTGATATAAATACTGTACTATAAAAATCGTTAATACAAATTTAAAACTATCACAAATACCATGATTTTAACAAAAACATCTTTAAAAAGCAACTTGTGTTTACGATTTTTAACATAAAAAATAGGT